TATCATCATTATCATTATTACCATCATCGTCATCATCATGTTCATCAGAAGAAGAAAGAACACACCCACGGTTCCCAATGTAGTTGTACTATTTTTCTTTCATTGCATCTTCATCTTGCCACACCCCCTTTTTTCTCTTCCCCTTCTAGCGCTCTCTCTCTCTCTCTCTCTCTTTTACCACACTCATCTCACGACATGAGCGCCCATCGAAGTAATGAACCGGCGGACTTTTGGTAGTAACCAACGCCTCTCCTCCCTTCCCCTTCTTTCTTTCTTTTTCCTATTTCGCGGGCAAAGCAAAACACCCCGAAACGGAAACGGAAACGGCGAGGGAGGAATTGTATTTTTTTTTCTTTCCACTTTTTGGCGAATAAAAAAAAAGAGGGAGAAAGAGAGAGAAAGAGAAAGAGGAAAACAATACGATGGGTTAGGCAAAACCTTTGCAAGGTACTGTTCCCTAATACACGAAACTGTTTTGAAAGAGAGAATTTATAAAAAAAAATTATTATTTCAACTTGGATCTCTGTTCTGCTTCTTCGTGTTCTCTCTTGCAATAACGGGTGAATGTTGTTTCTCTCTTCTTACACGTCACACAAATGACGTGGGAATGCCCTCCCACATGGCGTGTGTAACAAGGTACTGAGAGGTAATAAAGGAGCGATGCAATCGCGATTTCATAGCAGAGAAGAAAGAGAGAGAGAAACTATACAAGACCCGATTCTCGAAGTGTCTAATGATAATCATGATGATGCTGATTATAACAGCCCTCAATCTCCATGTGTGTATGTGTGTTTCCTGATAACACGAATACCGAAAACCCATCCCCAAACTTCACCACAAACCCCAATTGTACAAACAAGACCAAAAAATAAGAGAAGAAAAAAAACAACAACGCCAAAACGCTTGCGCTTTACTGGGCCCAATACCGATTACAAAAAGGACTTTGTGAGAATGGTTATACTTGTACATCAGAGTCTACCCGCCTAACCCAAACGCTAACAAAATACACAATAAGAAAGGGAAAAAAAAGTTGATTAAGCAAAAGAAACACCGCAACGACGCATCTATGATAGACTATCCTTCACAGTGTTGGTGCTCTCTTGAGGCCCTGGCAGTAGCGAACATACAAGGCGTCGATAAAATGTGAGTGCCTAATACCCGGTGGGCGCGCTTGCTGGAACGCATCGAGTGCATCTTCGACCTTGTATCCCAGACGCTCAATCAGATATGACACCAAGAAGAAGCCAGTGCGGTTGAAGCCGTAGTGGCAATGGACGCCGATAAGACCAGGCCGCTGTTCTGCTCGGATTCTATCGACAAGATCAAAAAACTCCTTGACCTCGGCCGCTTGTGGAGGCTGCTTCGACACGGTTGGGAACTTGTAGTACGGGATGCCGCCCTCTTCCAAGCCCTTGGGGTCGTAGACGGGATTGTCATGCGAGATATCGACAACGGCGCAGAGCTTTCCAGCCCACTTCTTCGTAAGCACCTTGGGCGTATGCTCTTCGTCGACCTCTCGAAGCGTCTTCATCGCCCGGAAGACGTTGGCGATGGGTGCAGATACAGGCTGCACTGCCTTCCACTTCTCGAGATTCTTGACGTCCCATTTGCCTTCGGTCGACAGGTAACTGAGTTGCCAAGCCAATGATAAACGAGGGTCAATGTAGTCAGCAAAGAAAGTGCCTATAAGCCCGGCTATGATACGCGAGGTAGATGGAGCAAAGAGCAGAGAGTGAGCAGCTGGTTTGGGCATGATTGCTGTCTTAACGACAAGCTTGCGTGGGTGAGGTGGCGGCGTGGTTGACGATGACGTCGAAGTTCCCGAGAGAAGCGGACCGTCTGCAGTGGTCATACTTCCCTCTCTGGTACCATCCTCTGTGGACACAAGACTGCCGTCAGCAGTGGATACGGAGGTTGATTCAATCGTCTTGTCGTCTTTTTCGCATCGTGGCAAATCTTTCGCATCAATACCCGAATCTTTGTGTTCTTTCGTGGGTACCTCTGATATGATAGAGGCAGGAACAAATGGTGCGGCTGCGATGGGTAGACTAGCCCTCTCGCTTGGCGGCTCAATGGCACTAACATCTCTTCCTAAGAACTCCACGACACGTTTAACATTTGAGGCTGGGGTCACGTCGTCCATCTCGCCGGCAGTGAGGAACACGGGCATGTTTAGACCACTCCAGACCTGTCTTCCCGGAAGGCCGCCCTTTGGTGAGCCATCGGAGTAATCAGGGCACATGCCTCGTGCCATCCTCTGCCAGACGGCACTTCGACTTTGTTCGTTGAAAAGCAGCTGCATTCTTCTTGTCTCCACGTCTGCATCTGCTCCTGTCATGCGCAAAACACTCTTGCTGGCAATACCCCCTCTCCGATCCCAGCGTCTTAACAGGTCAAATAGGACTGGTGGTACTGACGAGAGGTACTGCAGTTGTTTGACTTGTTTCTCAGTGGGAGGCTCGGCTTGTGGACATATAGCAATCAAGCCGCTGACGCATTGCGACAGAAGATGGGCATGTGGAGAGGTAGGGGAGGCTAGTAGGACGGCCAGAGAGCAGCCCATGCTATGGCCGACTAGAACGACAGGCTGTCTTTCGTCGGCTGCACGATGTTCTTCAATAACGACTGCAAGAAGATGTACAAGGGCCTCGGTTGTGTAGGCTTCCCATGCTTTTGGCTCAAAAGTCGACGCACCGCATCCAGGGAAGTCTAGAGCCAAGCATGGTGCTAGATTGGAAAGGCTGATAAGAATAGGGCTGAACTGGGCAATAGATCCGCCAAGGCCATGGATGAAGACCAGAAGGGGAATCGGGCAGGGGTCTTTTGGTAGCTTGCTTTCTTGGTGGTGTGGACGATAAAAGGTGCGCAGTTGAGGATAAGTGAAGCCAGTAGAGGGCACGGTGTAGGACTTAACTGTAGAGTACTTCTTTATCAGTGCTGGGTCAGTGATGGCAGCATCATCTATGGAGCGTTAGCGCGATAAGCTTAGTACTTGGACATGTGCATTAGCTGGGCCACGTGATGAGATGGACGGGTCGTTAATCTCACAAAACCAACGTACCGGTTGCGGCCTCGGATGCGTGTTGAGTTCCCCCAGACCTGGTCTTACCACCCCTTTTCCTCCGTATCCAAAGTGCAGATGCGACTCCACACAGCGCTGTCAACTCAACCATGCCTGCAGGAGTCAAAGACCAATTGCCGTGGCGGAGTACCAAGGGAGTGAGCAGGTTCAGAAAATGGTAGGCAGACTTGTTTATATCCGTGGCGTTCCAGGGGACTAGGTGGGAGTCGGTCTGTGTCACTGGATGGCTGGGCGAGCCTGCAAGAGTGGTCTTCAGGAGTGACAGCAGAGCCTGTGGAAGGCGCAACGTGCCATTCTGGGCCGTGTAAGGACGCGAATGAGGCTCCATAGACTTTGGCGTGGAGCGACGGTGGATGTATATCCAACGGGCCGTGGGAGTGCTGGCGTGCAGCAAGGTGACGGGCGATCTGGGGCCAGCCAATTGAATCGGATAGAAAGACTCGTGCCCCAACTGCTGGTGGGAACGAGCCGGTGCCTGGAAAGTTTGGTACGGGGAGAGGCGGGCACGTTGGACGAACAACAAATACAGGGCTAGCAATGCCTCGTCATCAGCAGTTGGGCGAATTGTGCGATGTGAATGGGCATCCCGTCCAAAAAGGAATTACGCGAGATGGAGTCGCGGGCAGGCCATGACGAGGCTGGGATGGAGCTTGCTGGATGGAGTATATACTTAGGGGGGGCCGGCAGCCGCCGGAGACGATTTGTTTATGGGTGGTAATGGTGGTAGCCGTGGTATTGTGGTGGTGGTTTCCTCGACTGCAGAATTTTGGTGGTTGCTGTGACTCTGGCGGGCAATGGGCGAAATGACGTTGGTGGTTGGGCGCGCTCCTGCCACTCTCAGCCCGGATGCGGGAGCGACGCCTCTGCCTTGCATCGTGCAACTTGGCAGGGCTGACTGGACGCCACCACCCTCAGCCCTATCGCAGCTGGCCTCTTGCTGTTCACCGTCTCCGTCTTCTCCATCATCACTTTCTTCTCTTTCCTCTTCCTCCTATCAACTCCACAGACTGTCTTCCCGTCCGACGCTCCCTCCATTTGCCAGATCCATCATGACGTCACCACAGCTCCTCCCCAGCGCCGTCAAGCCATCTGTCCTGACAGGTTTTTTTTCGCTCTCTGATGAGCACCACGGAGAGTATGTAGGTAGGCCTACCTCGATTTGCACAGGCGCGCGTGGTATTTACCCATCGACTCTAGCGGATCCCGAGGGAAGATACCGACACAGCACTCCTTCTGGGTCACGTCCCACTTTTGATCCGACATGGATACTACGTAGCAGAACATTCAGAAACTCCGCACTTGCTCTACTCTATATACGCACTACTATGCTAGTGTACTTGCATATACTTTACCCCAAGTGCGCCTGTCAATGCCATTGCTAGCCGAGCCGCAAAAGCGGTGACTGGCCCCGGCCTTCCAGAAGACAGGTAGCATTTCGCCGTTGAAAGCGCCGCACTCTGGTGGTGGGCCAGCACATGTTGCGCCCACTGCCCAGGCTCCAGGTCACGCTGCAAGTCCGATGTGGCGCACTTCGGGACTTGATACCGCGGAGGAAATCTTTCACGCTACCACCCCAACGCCAGCGCGACCATGGGTCCGCTAGCATGCTGCCTGGCCCAATCGCCATAGTTCGGCTTCATCTCGTCCGGTAGCATTGGCTGCTGCTCACTGTCCATGGACGACACACAACGCGTAGCCTTCCGGCCCTGGACTGGCACTTGTCATGCTCCACGATAACCCCTCCCTCCACGACAGTTTGGGCCCCAGACGACACTGATAGAGGCATGACCATGGCCCACATACACGTCGATGCGAGCACCTTAGACAGCCCTAACCATGTTAGACTGTGCAAGCACCCCTGCTCCGGGAGTACCTGGGTACACGCGGTATCGATTAGCTATCCTCACTATCTCGTTCCCGCAACACCACACCTTTTTCCTTTCTGTCAATCTTCCCTCGTGCCTTGATTTCCTTCTTCGCCTACCCGTTCAATTGCCGTATTTGCCATAGATCCCATATTTGGTTGCCTCAAAATGGACCCCAAGAACCTTCAGAAGCAACGGGAGCCAGAGGAGCCGCGCTTTCTCAGTTTTCCACATCTTCCAGACGATGCGAAAAATGAAAATGGCCAACCAGCACTCAACAAGTACTCGTCCACGCTCACCACGGGCCATAACTTCCCTGGAGCACAGGTTCGCTACCACCGCCATTTGAATTCCATCAGTAGTTGACATGGTCCAAATCATAGGCCATGCTCTATGCCGCTGGGGTACCCTCACGAGAAGCAATGAAGACGCAGCCTCATGTTGGTATAGCATCTGTTTGGTGGGAAGGCAATCCATGCAAGTTAGTTTTGACCCTCGCGCACAAAAATGTCTTGGCCACAAACTGACAATGCCACAGCATGCACTGTAAGTTCCCCAATCTAGCCTACGCGTGGCGAGACTATTAGGGTGCAACGGGCAATTGCGTGCGCATAACCCACTGACATTCCATAGTGCTGGACCTGGGGAAGGAGATCAAAAAGCATGTTCAAAACGATAATATGCTTGCGTGGCAGTACAACACCGTTGGTGTCTCGGATGGCATCACAATGGGTGGTGAAGGTACCATGACTCCTCTACATCCAGCCAACTTTGAATTGATCTCGACTAGGAATGCGCTTCTCTCTCCAAACGCGTGAAATAATAGCCGATAGCATTGAGACCGTTACATGCGCTCAGCACCACGACGCCTGCATAGCGATTCCGGGTTGTGACAAGAATATGCCTGGAGTCATTATGGCATTTGCAAGACACAACCGCCCTTCCCTCATGGTTTATGGCGGTTCCATAATTCCAGGCTACTCAGAGACACTCAAGAAGCCCATCAATATCTCTACCTGCTATGAGAGCCACGGCGCATACATATACAAAAACTTGAAGAGCGCGAGCGATGGTAAATTCTCACCAGATGAGATCATGGAAGACATTGAGAGAAATGCATGCCCCGGCGCAGGCGCTTGTGGTGGCATGTACACGGCAAACACTATGTCTACATCGATTGAAGGTACAACAGGCTCTCGCTTGCCATATCTGCCATGAAGATGCACTAACAAATCATAGCAATGGGCCTTACTCTACCCAACTCGTCCACCACGCCTGCGACCTCTCCTGCCAAGATGCGCGAATGCGCCAAAGCTGCTGCTGCCATCCGTGTGTGCATGGAAAAGAACATTACACCTCGTAAACTCCTCACAAAGGCATCTTTCGAAAACGCCCTTGTCATGATGATGGTGCTGGGTGGTTCCACAAATGCTGTCCTACATCTTCTCGCTATGGCCGGCACAGCGGGTGTCCCTTTAACTCTCGACGATTTCCAACGTGTCTCAAACAAAATACCATTCCTCGCTGATCTAGCTCCCAGCGGTCGCTACATGGCAGCCGATCTCTTTGACATTGGCGGCATGCCCTCTGTTATGAAATTGCTCGTCGCCGCTAAGCTGCTCGATGGTTCCATTCTCACTGTGACCGGAAAGACACTTGCGGAAAACATTGAAGGATACCCATCTCTGCCCCAAGACCAAACCCTCATCCGCCCTCTAAGCAACCCAATCAAACCCACTGGCCATATCGAGATTCTCCGCGGTAACCTCGCACCCTCTGGGGCAGTAGCAAAGATTACAGGAAAAGAAGGCTTGAAGTTCACGGGCAAAGCCATTGTATTCAACAAAGAGCACGAGCTGGACAGCGCGCTCAACCAAGGCCAGATTCCACACGGCGAGAATGTTGTAGTAGTAGTGCGCTATGAAGGACCCAAAGGCGGCCCCGGAATGCCGGAACAACTCAAAGCTTCCGCTGCCATCATGGGTGCCAAGCTGACCAATGTCGCCTTAATCACGGACGGTAGGTATTCTGGCGCGTCCCATGGTTTTATCGTGGGTCATATCTGCCCTGAGGCGGCTGTAGGCGGTCCCATTGCGGTTGTGCAGAATGGTGACATGATCACAATTGATGCGGAAAAGAACAGGATAGACATGGATGTCAGCGATGAGGAGATTGAGAAGAGGCTGAAGGCATGGGTGCCGCCTAGCATGCCGGTTACGAGGGGCGTGCTGGCCAAGTATGCCAGGCTAGTGGGCGATGCTAGTCACGGCGCCATGACTGACCTTTTTTAAGCCATGTCAGTCGTGGTCGCGTCGGTATCCGTAGAAATCTCATAACCTAAAAACGTTAATGCAGTTTTATCTCTTGCGTAGATCGAACTACGAAAAGACGAAGGAAAAGGTTGTAATTTTTGAGCAACTATAGCAATAGGCAAGGCCATCGTCATGATTGTCATTTCACTGCAAATTGAATAAAGAGAGCACCAGACAAGAGTGAGGGGTATCATGTTGCTTTTCAGGCCCAAGCCCAGTGTCATTGGTTGTCCTAGGCTAAAAGCAGGCCCAGCGAAGTCATGTCTTCAACGCCATAAGCCGTAAAACCGTGTAGATCCGTAACCGCCCCGCAATCAAATGCTTAGAACAGCCGTGTTTTTTGCCCGCGCATCACAATCCTGTGTGAAACATCTACTCGTCATCCTCTTCCTCGGCCTCGAGGGTGGTCTGCGCAATACGGTCCAAATCACGCTGGCCGGACTGTGTGATGCGGCGGCCACCCTTGTCCTCGTCCTGCTCAAGGACACCAATCTTCTCCAGAGCCTGCATGACCTTGCGGTCAACGGAGCCAGAGGCGTCGACGTGGTGAGAAGGGCGGGAGCCGCGGTTCTTGGTGGATCCGTGGACCTTGCGGAGGCGGCCTACACCGACAGTCTTGCGCTACTCAGTTCGTTAGTATTTTGCCCTTCTTCTTTTCAATCCCTGTGTGCGAGGGTTTCGCGTACCATGTAGATGTGGCGGGCAATGGCAGCGGCGCGGACGTAGAACCAGTCGATGTCCTGGGGAGGGAGCTCATTGGAGTCTGCGCAATGTTAGACGACCGTTTGCGCAGATGATTTTTTCTTTATTTCTCAGGATCTCGGATTTATACGTACGGCTCGTCTTGACAGTGTCAACCCAGCCTGTAGATAAGAGTCAGCGAACTGAGGTTTATCCCCCATTTACGGGATTCAGGCTTTTCATCCTTCACCCGCTGGATAGAGACGAACCTGGACTGCGAAAAAAGTTAGCGCTTTGTTCCTCTCTCTGTACTGATTTGGGAAAAGAGGCTTACATGGGGAGCTTTCCCTGACGCTTCAAGAAAGCGGCGTACGCCTTCACGAAAGTGTGAGACTCAATGTCCTTGACGGTAACACCACCCATTTTGTCGGTATTGGAGAAGAGATTGTCGGTTTGGGGGGGAGAGGAGGCGTTCGGGCTTGACGGTGGTTGCTGCAAATGTCAATGACCACCGCGATGCTCAATTTGCGCCTTCGGTGGTCTCGCTTAGGAAGAATGGTCGGCCCGGCGCTAGTGGGTGGGTGGGGTTGTGTTGGATCGTCTGAACCATTCCCAGGTTCCAGGCCTCCCCCAACACTGTCATTGGCTCCGCGTATTGATTCTAAACACAGATTGAGCATTGTCCATGTTAAGGAACTGCATGCGCAAGGATAGCATGATGCAAAAGAGGGTGAGATTGCAATAAGCGTAGCCTTCGTGTCAGCTTAACTCAGGGTTATCATAGAGGACAGTCACTATTGCTTCTTCGGAAATTACATTTGTGCTAAACACTCAGTTCAAAACTCTTAACAGCCACATGTCATCGTTCCTATCGCTCACTATGCTTTCCCATAAACTGCTCGGCCAGTATGCAGAAAGCAGGTCGCCCATGTTGTTTCGTAAACCCAGAATATCGTATGTATATATCCATTCGGAAATCCAAGTCTAACAAAAGAGCGTTGTTCAACAAAAATAGGCAAAGGCAAAATTTGGAAGCTCACTATGGTGTCATATTCACTAAACTATGATATGGCCGTTATCTTTTATCGTTATGTAGTCTTATGGTATTCATAATGATCTGTGATTATAGTAGGGATCCAAAATATAACGAAGAATGTACATAGAATCCTCACAGCACATCGCACAATCACCACTTGCTGATGTCAACAACGGTAACGGTGATTGAGTTGGTGGTGCTAGGTGGCAGCTGTCCTCCTCCCATAAGCAACAGCTTGGTTGGGTCCTTGAGTACGCGAAGGTGCCTTGTGTAAGAATTGGCCTCAGGTGTGTCGATCTTAATCCAGTTGCCCTTTCCAAGACCCCTGTTGATGAAGACCTGCGAACCGCTGTGCGCGCTCGCAATAATTGTGCCATTTGCGCCACCGACCGAACTCCACACTACGTACGGCGAGCCACTGGGAATAGTGCCGTCAGTGGCCTTGAGGCTGATGCCTTGGGCTTGGCCAAACTTTTCGGGGTCGGACACAATCTTGTAGTAGACGGGGAACTGGTAGGAGTTGGGGATAGCAGGACCACCGCCGTATTCGTAAGTCATGATAAATTGTCCGTTTGGCAGCTTGGCGACGGTGGGCATGCCTGGGCGGTCAGTGTACTTGGAGTATGCGACATCGTTGACAACTGGGCCCCATGTCTTGAGGTCTGTAGTGGTCTGATGGACCATCTTCTGGCCGTAAGTGGCGTTCTCGCGCTGGTCCGAGTAGTAGCAGATCAACTTCTTGTTGTGCAACATCAGGAAGGGCTCCCAGACAGGTGTCAAGCCGTTGTTAGGACGAGCTTCACCACCGGCTGCAATATGAGAGACGAAGGTCCAGGTCAGTCCAGAGTCTCGAGATGCGTAAAGTTCAATATGGGTGCTGGAGAGGTCCTTGGGGATGGCTGAGCCTGAAACCAGAACTGTTCCGGCCGGGAAGCCGCCAATGCTCTCGGGTAAGACGTAGATGAAGGGCTGGTACCGCAGACCATAGCCATACTGGGTATCCTGGACGCGCGAAATTTCCCTCCATGTAAGGCCGCCATCGGAAGACTTGAAGATGGGAAAGTACACCTTGGGTGGCTCGGGGGAATAATTCTCCCAAGTTGCGAGTAGGGAGCCGTCGGCAAGCTGTGCACTGCGGGCATAGAGGACACTTGGATCAGTCCAGCCAGCATTTCTCGGAGGGGTGAAGACAACATTGCGGGAGAAGGTGGGTTGTGTGGTCTGGCGTTTAGGAAGCGCAGAGGCAGTGGTGGAGACCACGCCAATCAATGACAGGAAAAGGGTTGAGAGACGCATCTTGACGGCTTGAGCTGTTGCAAGATGGGCAGAAAGCGAGAGGGAACATGCAATGCTATATAAAGCATCGCCAATGCTTACTTCTCACAATAATAACGGCTGTCCTTGTTGAAAACATCCGCTTTGGGCCATGTTCCTGGCGCTTGAACAGACCAAAAGCACGGAACACGTCCCTTAACGTCATGGTCACCCTAGGATACATGGTGCATATCCTTGACTCGCGTCCATCCCACGTTTCCCAATGGCGGGGAATCTCGAGGCCGCAGGACGGAGAAATGGTGGACAGGAGGGATCGTCCGTTATTGCGGGGAAGCCGGTGGTTTATGGACCGAGCCATGCAAGTTTGTGTGCTGAACTGAGCAAATAGCCATGTCGGAAGCGTGCCGAGGTGCGGAAGAGAAGCCGTCTAAGGACTAGGTGAGCAGTCGACCAAGCGCACATGATCAAGCAATTGCAGACTTAGTTTAGCCAAATCCTTGGTGCCTGGAATAACTGAAGTTATTATGCCGAAGAGGTCGTGAAAAGACGGTTACATCAGGGCAGCAAGGTTTGGACCATGGCGTATGGTGTTGGTGTTGGTATTGTTGCGTTGGCGTTGGCGAGGGCGAGGGCGAGGGCGAAGGCGAAGGCGGGAAGGAGCGATACGACTGTCTGTCCACCGTTCTGGCAGCCACGAAGCATATCTCAACGTCGTCTCGTTTTTTTTGACTGTTCCTTTGTTTGCGCATAGTCTCTGCCGCTGCCCCGTTTCATCTCACATGCAGCTTGATATCATCATGAGCGCCTCTACCTTGTCCACGACTTTTCGGCGTTCGCAATTCAGCCGGTCACGGCAAAACGGCGTCGCACAACAAGGAACTCGCTCATATGCCAAGTTTGCAAGGCCTGTACAATAGCGGATGCAGAAAAGCTAAACATGTTCAAGAATACCAGGCATTTTGATGCGGAAGGTACTCTGTATTCAACAGGCTCCTGTCTTGTGGAAATCTCCAATCAGCCTTGCAACATAGCAGCGTCGTCCGTCACACTGCAGGAGGTGGTGGCAGTGCACGAACGGCCGCAGCAGCTGCCTGTTGCCTTCTCACCATCCACTCGCTTGTAGTGCTCACCGGTCAAAAATGTGAGTAACTCACCCTTCTCTGCGCCTCTCAGGCTTCTGTTCCTGCTTTCCGCTGGAAACACTATGCCAACATGGTAAGTCCACTTCTCGACTGCGCTTTGACAGAATGGCTTTTTATTGCCGTTGCAAGGCTGGAAAATAGCAGTTCATGTAAGAACGTTTGATAGCTGATAGCGCATTGCGCCAGGCTTCCACAATAGCCTCCCCGGTCCCACTGCGCTTCGACCAGTCTCCACGAACGACCAATGAGCGCGAGGCTGGCTACCTAGGACGCGATACTCCTCTTCCACAGTATGAAAAGACGCAGTCTGTGCCATTTACTTTGAAACTCCAGGAAGATGCCCAGAATCCAGGCCGGTTTCAGCTCGTCTTGGACATTGGTGCAAAGCTTCAACCACCAGATGGATTGCCCTTGAATGCATTCTTCAACCCTCTAAACACGGTCAATAGCGCTACCAAGGATGACACAAATTCTAGGAGAGATTCATCTAGTCCACCTACGACACCGCTTTCGGAGAAGCAGGGCTGGGCCGATTTAGACCATGTGCCCCCTGAATTTCTCAACAAAGTTGTACCAGATTGGAATGTATCGTTTTCTCGAAGTGATTCGACAATGTCCACACAGACAAAGCGTCTATCTGAAATCAAAGCCAAGATCAAGAAGAAAGGAAAGGGCTACGTAGTTCGGCTCTTAAAGGGCTCCGCCACAGACTCGGATGAGATTGCTGAAGTAGACCTGGGTTCAGACGCCACCAGATCCCGAGCAAACATCTCTGAGCTTGACTCTGCAATTTTGCCAGCCGAACTTCACTCTGTGCCGTCATCTGCGCCGACTAATACTACAAGTCCTGCTGGTCGACCCAATGTGTTCGAAATCGGTACTTCCAATGAAGATGGCATCAGGCGGCCGCAAGATTCCGTTGCTCTTGGACCTGATTCAAATGGTGAATCATATGCGAGGCTGTTGGAACGGAGTCGGCTGGTACAAAATTCAACTACTGAAGAAGTAATGAGCGATGCGGAAACCCTGATTTCTGATCTTTGCCCAATGGATCGGCATGTGGATGGAGAACAGACCTATGGCGAGTCCTTGATTCCTACCCGATCAGGTTCAGTGTCCAGCATTGTGAAAACACCTACCCGGGGCCTATCACTTGTTGGACCAGTTAGGAAAAGGGTTGAAAAGAAGGCTCGTCCCCGTATAAACTGCCGAACCGCAAACATAAACCTTAAACGGTCGGACGCTCACAAATCTATCAAGAATCGCTCTAATTCAACTACCATTGAAACCGAAGATTGGTTTGATGAATTTGGCACGAGCTCGGCCAATGTGCGGCAATGTCAACGACTATCACCTCGCAAGTCCAAGGATTCTGACCGAAATTTCCAAGACAATGGGGCATGGCAAAATTCAGTACGACATACCGGTAAAACAAAACCTCGAAATGCCCGCCATTCTTCTGCAGACGATCTCCAAGTACCCGTAAAGTCCAAGTATGGATTGCGGTTACAAACTAACGTACCCAAAACAAAATCCGCCCACGTATCCCCAGTGACTCAACGGAAAGGGCCACCAAAAGTGCGAAAACATAAATCCTCATCGAATTCACCGGGTGAGGTGTATGATAATGATATAGCATCCTCGCCTGAATTGCAAGAAGCGAGCCATTCGGAAGTGCTTAGAAAAGCTTTGAGAGCTTTGGGTGATGATGTTTCGGACCCAGGCAATGGCGATCAAGGCATTGCGGATACGCAAGACCCTACTGTGCACCGCCTTGTAGAGTCGGTAGACGAAGATTGCATTGGCGATATAATGTTGCCTTCGGAAACCGAGATCAGATCAGCACCTAGTGGAGTGCGCAGCCCAGCGTTGATGTACTGGGCCCTCGCATTTGGCGCGTTGTCAGACAAGGTATACGAAGGATTCAAACTGCTTCGAGACGTTGTCGGTCCTGAGCGGCCCGTTCAGAGAGGGCATGTTCGCGTTCGATGGACTTGTGTAAGTGTTAATCTCCTAATTACGATTAGCTATACTGATACTCTGCAGTCATGTGGAGAGTCACTTTACGATGACTTCATTGAGCAACGACCGAATGCAGCCCGACTTCTAGAAGCCTACTTGAACCGTCCGAGAGTGCACACTTATCAAAGCCCTGCCAGCCAGAGCAGTACAGTGTCATCCACGTCCTCTATCTTCGACTCTTCTAGTCGAGCTTCAACCCTGGCAACGCCATCGTCTACATACGGTGGATCTGCTCCATGGTCTAGAGGCAGTGATCCATCAAAATACAACCCGTCCCGTGTGCGAGCCGACAGCGCATTCAGCGTTCGCATGCCTAATTATGCCGAGGAATCGTGGCTTCTCACCTGCGCAAACGAGGGGCGTCTTACGCCCAAAATCGTGCATCTCGACGTCAACGAATGCCGAATAAGAAGCGATAAAGACCTAGCACTTTCCCTACGAGAGCACTACGACCAGCTACATCGCCGATGGTATAACTGGACACGATTGCGTGGGCTAACGACTATCGAGTTTGTACAATTCGAAGTTCATCGTAATCGATTTGCTGACATTCGTGCCGCGCCATCTATGCCTCCAAAATCTGCGACGTCTTCAGTGTCTACAGCTGGAGGCCCGGAGAAATCTCAGGGAGCATCACAGCATCCGTATACGTTTGAGCCAAATGACCTTCTCCCTCCTGTCGGCAGCACCTATCTTCTTCATCTTTTTAAGCATCCAAACGATTATGACAGTGAGCTGGTAACGTATCTACGTAGTCCAAAGCGGCGTCAGCGGCTAGAGTTCGGCATGGGGTGGGGTGTTCATCTTGTGGAAGGATTCCTGGCCCAGCGTGTTTGGGCGTTTACAGTGGGTATTTGTGGCCTGAGTAGTGCAGTGTTTGCCGCGCTGTGGACGATTATGAAGGAAGACGTGCAGGGTGCATTTGGAGTTGCGCAATGGGTATTGGGAATCGCTGTGCTAATGGTCGGGGGCATTCAGGCATGGCTAGAGTAGACTGCAAGTCAATGAAAGCGTCCTTCGTAAATCTAAACCAGCGAAATTCCCTCAATGGCCTGTCCTTGTTTCTCTCGCTCTCACTGCTTACGTTCAGCGTACGTACTGCGAAGATGGCTACTTATTTATCAGAAACATTACGCCGAACAAGTAGTGCTTGTGTGTTAACGGTAAGGATACTCCAATATTGCATGCCGCCCATGTGCGTTTGCGGGAATGACAAAGTTGTGCAAGGCTCCCCCCCTTGCACATGCATCTTTAGGTCTAAAAGCTCGGTACGTCAATGTTGTCTTCTCTCTGGCATGGTGTCATGACACAAGGAACGGGAACCTGGCATTCCTTGTGGCGACTGGATGAAGATGGCACCAAGAGAAGTCAGCATGTGATTCATCACTATTGGACTTGGAGGAAGCTGCAGTGTAAGCAGAGCTCGAGGCATGTGTCTCCGTTTTCCGTGAAAGTTTTGCTACATTTGGTCCTGGTAGGCGGGGGATCACTGATTACTGCCATACTCAACTCCCGCCCGTTTCGAAAACTATATTGGAAACGTCTACAAACGGCGCCTCAGCGGCTGAAAGACGGCTAAAGAGATTAAGAACAAGCAACGCATGAAAGACGGCGGCGCAGCACCGGCGATGCTGTCTGGGATTCGAGAGCGCAGTCACTGACCGAACCGCCGGCACCGCGTCCAACTCCAATCTCGCCGACGATGTTTCGACTGGTCAGTTGAATGCGGGCGATTCTTAACAGAGAAGTTGTCGCCGGTGCACTAGTAGTAGGCAAAAAAATCCACTGTTTCATGTTTGAAACAATACTGTTGGCAAGCGAGGTCAGGAACAGAGCGGCACAGCTGTGGGGCAACAGGATTATGTTCGTTGTCAGGGGTGCATGGCCGTTCCGCGCGTGCTGTTCGAGGCGACTACTTACTTACACTTAGGCTTTGAATTGATGAAGGCGCGTGTGTTTGCAGCACGCAATCCAGTGGTAAAACCAAAGGCTTGGCTTGGATAGGAGTAGTCTTACTACTCTATACCGGACGGTTGCTCATGTTGGTGGCGGAACGTTCCGGCAAATGCATGAACACCAAGTCTCCCGTTCATCGATGTCAAGATGCCAGGCCCATCAGTAGCGCCACCAACAGACGCCACGATCAATGCCTCCCTGCTCGGCATCTTCTTTGGCACCAACAAACAAGCGCTTGGCTAACGCCCATATGCACGGGCAAAACACTGGCTACATTGTGGCTACTCAGCTTCATGCCGCCAGGTTAGACCCGCTCGCTTGAGACCAGAACTACCAATTCTCCGGGACACCCGACTCATCCCTATGCATGTTAATCATATCATCTGCAGCATATGATGGCATACCCATGCGTTGCCGTTCCATGGCTGCGTCTTGCTGCTTGCGCGTGGAGTCCTGTGCATCCTGCTAATGTCGCTTGTCAGGCCCAAAGTGGAAATATGGCGATCAAAACAATACCAGGTGGAGGCTCTGTTTGGTCGTTTTGGTTTGGTGCCGTTGTGCCGGACATTCGTCCACGAGTCACTCATGCTATGGCGTGGGTTCCAGGCCGCCGGGCACCAGGTCTCAACTGGATAAATAGAGCCCTGAGGCACCCCAATGGCAAGGTACCTTCATCGCTACAGCTTCAATTCGTTGGTTTCTATACCCGTCCCTTCTTTCCTGCACATTCGTTCATCAAGTCCGTTCACTGTGTGAAGCCGGCAGACATTCTTTCATTCCCATCGAACATTCATTTCCATCGAACACCTTCAACCTTTCCCAGATCATCTCAATCTACCACAATGTACAAGACTCTCGCCTCCACCATCACTGCCATTGCGGCTCTTGCTGCTACCGCCACTGCCCACGGCTCCCTCACTGGTGTCAGCCTCGATGGTGTCTACGAGCAGGGCTACCTTATTGAATACTACTATGCCATGCAGCAAGGCGGCAAGGTCCCTGAGCACCTTGGCTGGTATGCTGAGAACCTCGACAATGGCTTTGTAGAGCCATCAAAGTTCGGCACTGGCGACATCATCTGCCACAAGGCCGGTAGCCCCAAGGGTAGCTCAGACACCATGGGCAAGATCGCCGCTGGTGGCAAGATCGACTTCCACTGGAACACCTGGCCCGCATCCCATGTTGGTCCTGTTCTCACTTACGCTGCTTCCTACACCGGCGACATTCAGGCTGTCAAGAAGGAGGACCTTAAGTGGTTCAAGATTGAGGGTGTTGGTTACGAGAACGGCGAGTGGGCTGCCGTCAAGATGATTGCCAACAACAACACCTGGACCACCACTGTCCCCGAGAACCTTGCCGCTGGCAAGTACGTCTTCCGCCATGAGATCATTGCGCTCCACGCCGCTGGCCAGGAGAACGGTGCCCAGAACTACCCCCAGTGTGTCAACATTGAGGTTACCGGCAGTGGTACCGAGAAGCCCGAGGGTGTTGTTGGCACTAAGCTCTACACTTCCACTGACCCCGGTATCAAGTTTGACGTCTACCAAAGCAAGTTGGACAGCTACGTCGTCCCTGGTCCTCCTGCCATGGGCGCTGGCTCCGGCTCCGGCTCCGGCTCCACCCCTGCCCCCTCCAAGCCTGCCCCTTCATCCACCCCCTCCAGCTCGCCCTCTGCTCCCTCACCGAGCGCGTCTGCTCCTGCTGCTTCTGTCACTCCCGAGGCTCAGAAGCCCTCTCCTTCCACTGCTCCTTCAAGCGGTAACCTCCCCGAGACCTTCACCCTCGACACCTTCATCACTTGGCTCGAGGGCAAGGCCAGCAGCTCTGCTAGCAAGGCCCGCCGCCACGCTCGCGCTTTCCTGTAAGCGTTTTCAGGATGGCTTATCATTCGTCACGGCGATGAGATAACGTGATGGAAATTCTTTTGAGGTTCGTTCGTTCGTTGGATACGACGAGTGCCTTCGATTCTTTGTGTATAGTACATACCCTTTTTTGTAGCATAGCGCTCTGAACATATACCTTTTCGCCACAAAGATTCTTTTTTTGACATGCATGTGATTGTGATTGGTTACTATACTATGTGTATTTGTGAGGAAGAATTAGGGTATGCGGCCTTGTTATCGTGGTTGAGATCGCATTTAGCACCAGTGAAGGATTGAAGACAACATCACAACAGAATGAATATTACTTTGACACGTGGGGGATGAGAAGTACCATTGGATGGTTGAGGCTCGTTTTAATAACGCTGCCGAGCTCGCAGCATAGCGGCATTATTCATGCTCGTCGAGGAGAAAGAAACACCACCGTCCTACCCAGATACCCTGATACATGTATGTAAGGCACAAGCCAAACCCTCTGTCAAGGGCAAGGCGGCCCCAAGTAGAAGACAAGGAGAAGAAGAAGAAGAAGAAGAAGAAGAAGAAGAAGAAGAAGAAGAAAAAAAGGCATCGTAGTATCCGTGAAGCAGGATCCCACCCCATCCTCAACCCTTCTTGTACTTGTTGACGAGCTTCCAGTACGCGGCATCAAGCCTCTTCTCCTTGGCCTCGGCCGAGCAGAGCAGGCGTGCCTGCCTTGCCACCTCGAGCTGCATCTTGACGACCTCTTCTAGCTTCTCACGCTCGTGCTCGCAAGTGATCGTGAGCATTGCCAAGTTGACTTCGGGGTCAAAGTCCACGTAGGGCTTGTACTTCTTCTTGAAGCACATGCGGGAGAACTTGTGGCTGACATCGGTAAAGGCCCTGGATCTGAAGATCACCTTAATGCAGATGTTGTCGAGTCTCCTGCAGATTTGCTGTTTGCGGCACGCGTCGGCGCGGCTCATGGTGAAGGCGGGAGCTGCAGCGCGTGGAGGCGCTTCTGCAGTTGATGTAGCAGCCAATGATGGGGCGGATATAGACGTCTTTGTGGATTTCATAGTTGTGGAAGGTGTTCTTGTTGAATGTGGGCTTGTTGACGTGCTTTTTGCCTTTTGTGATGGTGGGGATGGTAATGTGTGAGGGAAATGGAGGTAGAAGCGGATGTGAAGGGTAAACGACATGTCTGACTAGCACTTGCAAACGCTTTTTGCACTCACTTTTTAGCCTAGTCAAGGGCCAGTGAACATGACAGGTTAAGATTAGACACTCGGAGAAAATCAGGAAACATGTGAACCCCAACTCCTCTATGTGCATACCATTCCTTTTGCTCTTTCAGTGCAGTGTCTACGGCTTGATTCGGACCCAGCATCGTCTTGAACTGATACATGCTGCCAATGAATCCTTACAGAGAATGCTTGGGAAGTCAAAGTCTTTTGGTTCAGCAGAGCGGGTATTAGGCCATGTAAAGCGCTCTAGATATCTCCACGCCAACAGTGACACTTGATTCTTGTATATCCACTTCCCATTCTACTTCGTCCGTTGCATGTAATTATATTTTTTCCAGAGCTTCATCTAGTACTGCACGTTCACGCGTGCAGTTGCATATTGTGTATTGATCTTCTGTAATACCCATCAGTTGTGGAGGTACAGTGAAAATGGCTCTCATTACTCAGTTCAAAGTCTGTAAGAGTTATTGTTAATCGAGTGATAAGGCAAATAAGGGTTTGAATACCAGTACTCTGCTGAATAACTCAAGGAGGTTTTGGAAGAACAGACATTCAAATCGCCGAATTTCTAAAACAGGTCGAGCTTTTGGAAGTGATTTTGAGGATTCCATGTCAAAAGAAACAGAGCGCTGCATGTGCTGAGATTGGCCTTGTGTAATCCAACTAGATGGCTAAAGTGCAGCCAAAACAACAAAAAGAAGGCCTGGATACAATTAAGGGACCACTCCAAAAATTCATGTGGATGATAATCGACTTCACGGTGAGCAGCTGTATTCGTTCAACGATTGGCTGCTTCTGAATCGCTGTGTGTGTAAATGCCGGCACTCATCCCTGCTCATTGGAATAGCATCATCAAAGTGACCAACTTCATCTTATGCAGACGATGAAATGAAGATGCAGCAAAAATGAGATATGTCCAAATTTTGTTGTAGTCGCCTGCAGCTTCAATATGCATGTAGATGCCGCGGCTCTTTGCACCCCTGGCGGAAGATGCGCGCTAAGATACGAGCGGATAAGATGTTCAGGCAGGTGACGCCATGAGGGCCGAAACAGCGCGATAGCTTGCTGAGTGGAGTTGGCCTTATCATCTCCAAAACCTCTGGTTAGGTACTGAAGACTCATCATTTCTTGTATACGAAGCTCCTGGCGAGCAATGAAAAGCTAATAGCCATGGCCGACGAAAGAAGTCCATTGATTCAACGCGTCGATGTGCGCCCCCATCGCGACCGTTACCCGCACCATCGCCTTCGATTCTTCTGCACTACCTTCCTGAGCGCGACAATAATCGCTGGTGGACTTGCTGCCATCTTCTTTTTCGCCATTGCGCCTCCTACCCAAGACGACGAAGCTTCTGTATCACGAGTATCGGCATTCTTGTCCTCGTCTGCTTCACAAGTCCCTGAAGGATGGGCACGCAAGACGGCACTAGACTTTAACGACCTACAAAAGACTCTGCTTGAGACACCAAGTGCAGAAAAGGCGGAATACTGGAGCAGGTACTATACCAGCGGGCCACATCTCGCCGGAAAGAACTTTAGCCAAGCACTATGGACAAGAGAACGATGGGAGGAGTGGGGAGTCGCTAGCACCATCGTCGACTATGAAGTGTACATCAACTATCCAAAAGGTCACCGGTTGGCTCTGATGGAAAGGATTGTAACCGGGCACGAGAAAAAGGATATTTCCGCTAGTTCAGAGGACGTATGGAAGGTCACGTACGAAGCGCGGCTGGAAGAAGATGTCCTAGACGAAGACAAGTCAAGCCAACTTGCAGACCGAGTACCCACCTTCCACGGATACAGCGCTTCAGGAAATGTTACGGCTCCATACGTCTTCGTCAACTATGGCACATACAAGGATTTTGAGGAACTCAAAGCAGCAAACGTCAGTCTAGAAGGCAAGATTGCGTTGGCAAAGTATGGTGGTGTCTTCCGTGGCCTGAAGGTCAAGCGTGCCCAAGAGTTGGGTATGGTTGGCGTGGTCATGTACAGCGATCCTGGCGATGATGGTGAGGTCACCGAGAAGAACGGCGTCGCATGTTATCCAGACGGTCCAGCCAGAGAGCCCAGCAGTGTCCAACGAGGAAGCGTACAGTTCTTGAGTAAGTTGAGCCTTGTTCTTCCAGTGCTTTGCTAATGCTGTGGCCCCTTCAGGTTTTGCCCCAGGTGACCCAACTACCCCTGGCTACCCTTCAAAGCCTGGTTGTCCCCGCCAGCCGGTCGATCACGCTATGCCCCATATTCCATCTCTACCTATCTCCTACCTCGACGCCCTCCCTCTCCTTAAGGCTCTCAATGGGCATGGTCCGAAAGCATCATCTTTCAACGAACACTGGCACGGCGGTGGCTTGGACTACAAGGGTGTGGAGTACAATGTTGGACCGTCTCCAGATGACGTTGTCCTGAATCTCGTAAACGAGCAGGAGTACGTTACAACACCGCTGTGGAATGTGATTGGAGTTGTCAACGGCACGATCAGCGATGAAGTCATTGTCTTGGGAAATCATCGGGATGCGTGGATTGCCGGAGGCGCAGGGGATCCTAATAGCGGCTCTGCAGCTCTCAATGAAGTGATCCGAAGCTTCAGTGCTGCGATGGAAGCTGGCTGGAAGCCATGGAGAACCATCGTATTCGCGAGCTGGGATGGCGAAGAGTACGGTTTGGTTGGAAGTACAGAATGGGTGGAGGAATACTTGCCCTGGCTTTCTGCCTCAGCTGTCGCATACCTCAATGTTGACGTTGGTACGAATGGGCCAGACTTCAAGCTTTCGGCTGCACCGCTGTTGAGCAGGGTAGTTGAGGAAGCCAGTAAGTACACATTAATGCTCTGTTGACTGGACAGGGCTAATTCAACCTAGTTCAGATGGTTGCCTCTCCTAACCAGACCGTACCTGGCCAGTCAGTATACAACGTATGGGATAAGAAGATCGAGACAATGGGATCCGGCAGCGACTTCACGGCCTTTCAAGACTTTGCTGGTATCCCGTCGATTGACATGGGCTTTGGCTTTGACGCCAAGTCTGCAGTCTACCACTACCACAGCAACTACGACTCTTTCGACTGGATGAAAAAATACGGCGATGCTGATTTCGAGTATCACGCCACCATATCAAAGATCTGGGCACTCGTAGCCGCCAAGCTCGTTGACTCGCCTGTCCTTCAGTTGAATGCTACAGACTACGCGCTCGGCCTGAGCAAGTACGTCCAAGCCGCCAAACGTACAGCACAAGTGGATTCTCCAGATAAGAGATCATTCGAAAGCTGGCAACCTCTTGATGATGCAGTATCTCATTTTCTCGAAGCCTCTGTAGCTCACGACGAAAGAGCTGCCGATCTCGAACTTCAGTACTCCCTCATCGACGATATCCCCTGGTGGCAACCTTGGAAAAAGCTCCAACTCTTCGTCGCTATTCGCGCAGTCAACAATAAGTACAAATACTTGGAGCGCAAGTTCTTGTTTCCCGAGGGACTTGACGGACGAAGCTGGTTCAAGCACGTGGTCTTTGCACCAGGTAAGTGGACTGGCTACTCGGGCGCGACCTTTCCTGGAATAGTAGAAGCTATCGGAGAGGGTGACGAGGCGGCTACCAAACGTTGGGTTGGCATCGTTACCAAGGCCATCGACAGTGCTGCAGATTGGTTGGAAAAAGATTGAGCATGAAGCTATTTGCTTGTATATGGGTGGAGCAGTGTACGAATCTGATTGCTACATTGCCTTCACAATGATGTCCCAGGTAGGTGCAGAAGTAATTTGAATCACTTAGTCATGTCAGTTACATGTTGTATCGAGCCAACGCAGAAGATATTCTATTAAGTGGTCATAAGTAAAAAACAGAAAATCAAAATCTGAAGCCCATCCTTTTTAAGTGACTATATCTTCTCATTTGTCTTGCTTACCAGCTGACGACAGTAGGGTACTGTGGCCCATTGAGAAGATCCGACATTCGGGGTGGATGTGGCTTAGAAAAGGTCTAAGCGTGCGGGGTATAAGGTGCAGAAACAGTGAATAGCGGGGTATATATCGATGAAGGGGGGTTGTGGTGGAAGGTGCGGTCGGGGGGGGGGGTGCTTGGGGTTCTGGACGATGCGGCGGCAGCTAAGAAGGCTTAAGTAAATGTACGTCGTTAGCTTCTTGTTTGTATTCACGTATCAACTTGAAAACAATGGGCAAAAATGTCATCGCTTTGGCTTTACTACAGGATAATAGTCTCAATCACTACAGCACAGTGAAAAGCGATGATCTTTCTCTACCCGTACGCTTGGACTCCGCATTCAAGAAATATGAAAGCGGGTGCCAGACTGTAGGATAGCAAAGGATGTGTTTGCTCTTGCGATTCTGCGTGCCACCGTGCTTATAGGAGAAGCACGGGGAGGGAGCGAGAAAATCGCGGCGGAGGTGGAGATGGGGAGTGAGACAGTAGGAGGTTAGACGTACCTGAGAGTGACTCCAATGGTGTGCGTCGCTGGAGCCCAATCGTTGTTGTCTTTGCCATCACCTTTGGTTTACAACCAAGCCTTTGCTGGCCATCGCCGTGGAGCCATGTCTTGGGCCAGAGACAGGCGCTCCTGTTGCTCAGCCTTCAGTGACAGTCAGTAAGCTTACGGGTGGTTTTGTCTCCAGGTTACGTCTGGGATAGACTTACAGGGCTCAAGGTACTCCACCACTGGTAGAAGTTTCGTTCCAGCTCCTCAGCGACTTTCACGTCACTGCTTGCTCGAAGATATATATGAAACTCGAAAATGTAAGCTTGAATATGCCGATTGACGGTTGCGAAATCCGAATTGCCAGCCCGCATCAAGGAAGTGATCAAGAGTGCCCTCTGGGAGAGGCTGGACCAGATTCTATCAATGTCTTCTTGGAGTTCTCTTGCCAATCCCATTGGTATGATGCGAAGAGGTGGTGGAGGGGAATCAGTGCGAGACGAAGATGGGGGATCACTTGGAGGCGGAGGCGGAACTCGCGTAGAGGGAGGTAGAGCAGTCCATGATGGCTGCAAGTTGCCTCGACGAGTTCGGCGAGCTTGACGGCCAACAGGACGGCCTATTCCTCGAATATTTGGACGGTTCATAGGCATATCTATAGAATCTGTGATAGAATTTGTGATAGAGTTTGCGTGTCTGCTGTATTGTTTGGTGTCAATTTCAAGAATATATTGCACCAGTGCGCAAGGTGCGTTTGCTCCAGAGCCGGCGACCACCACGCAACGCCCCGCTTTTCAAGTCACTGTATGAATGCTCACTATAAAAACCACCTCACTCACTTCCTACGAACTCTCCAACACTCAAATCCAATCCTCTGTGAGGCTCAACAAAGGCACTCTGTCCCCCTCTGTTCCCCATACCAAGCTGAGTTCACCCCTTACTATCTCTCCCACATCAACACCGCGTCCAGTGATGATTGTCTTTACCACAATTGTAGTTGTTGACTTCCGCATGATAACGATACTTTTGTATCACGAGCACACAACTGAGGACAGCTCACTGACTCACAGATCCACCAAGCGCCTCTTCTGTACATCACTGACGCACTGCAAGTCCGCCAGATGTCCAAGAGACACACAAACTCGGCTTTTTATTAATAAACACCATCAAAACAATAGCCACTACACTGCATAGTAATATCAAGCTGAGTCTTCCTTTATTCCCCTCACTGCTTACACATTGGAGCGACCTATCAACACTCCGTGATGAACGGAAAAATTGTAGTTTTCAACGCAGACTTCAAATGAAGATAACATGACTTACTTTGAGAGTACTTTGAGTGAGATCTACTCACTCATTGGCTTTGTTTACTCGCTTTCGTTTTTCTCCTTTCAGTTAGTAACATACTGCAGATTTCCTCCGCCAACCCCGAATCACCACAGCTGCCGCACAGCAACGACGCTCATCGGTCATACTTGATGAGAGACACTAGGTAGGACCTGTACGAGATTTGACACAAGTCTTTGTGCTTTGTGTTTGGCCATCTGATTAAGTAGAGATGTGGTACTTCAATTACCATTGTCTCCAAGTATAGTGGCCTAGATCAATATCCCATCTCAAAAAGAAGGCGACATGCTCTTGTGTGGTGACCTTCGAGAACAAGTTGGGTACATTGGTATATAGATCAATGATACTGTGTTTTCTGCTCTATTTTTCAGTGCTGTGACTTGCCGTGCGTGAAAACTTGCGTGAGTGTGTGTGCAATTTGACAAACAAGTGCGCTGAGAGCTTAGCCGAATTTTGCAACAGAAGAGGGAATAGCATAGATAGACACGAATGGCGTTGACACGAGATGTGGCTAGTACAACAGTTTGCGCTGTGTGCTTAATTGTTATGATTCTTAGACCTGATTGATATCCAAGTTCGCTCACTGTAAAGAAAACAAGTTTACGGTCATGCTGGTATGCGCTATTGATAAACCTAAACATATGCAGTATCTCTCTTTGGCACGGGGCTTAAGACAGCGACCTGTTTATGCTAACCAAAGCTTCCTTATCTCCATCGTAGTCTTTCCATTAATGCCAGTCGCCCTGCATCTGCCGAATATTCGTACTGATAGTTACGCCAACCGTGTGGGTTGACAGCATCATGGCATCAAGCTTCAGCCTCAGACTGAATCTTATTTCCCCCTAAGTATGCCTGCTTCCCTGGGGCAATAAAGCCCTGAGCTTTTGGGTTGTATTGTTTGTGGAAGGCATGCGTGGGTATACAGATCGGCATCTCTCATTTTATCCATCGCCATCGTCGAAGTCGGTTAAGGAGCGCGCGCTCGCGAAGGGGGGTTACGGTCAATATTCGGGTCGCTCGACGAGAGTTCACTGCCTATATTATCAGAAATAAACAGAAGTCTTCAATAAGGTGTAAGCTGCTGATGGGGGTACCGTAACAATCAGTAAACAGAAAGGTTGTGAAGATGTTGCTGACCTGGAAACCCGTAAGGATGATGAAACACCAGAAGCAGGTATCTAATGTAATCTCAGAAACCTCAACACAAGGAGTTTTGAACTTCGATATCTGTTTGTCTGATTGCATCGTTGGAATGGAGCACTGTTATTACCGCAGCAAGCTGTGCCAAGACCTAGCATCAAACACAGGATGCCCAAGTGTCTGAACTTGGAATTCTAGAAGACAGCCAGTGCAAGCGCGTATCCGCACCACTACTAGAAGAGCCCTCTGTTCTCTTCTCCATTGTAAGGTAACTTCTGCTTGATGCACACTACCGCGAAGCTGGCTGTGTCACTGCTAGAATGCGTCCTTCTGACTAATATCTGTGTCCATAGTAATACCGTTATACCATGAGACGCTTCAAACTGCGAGATTTGACAGAGGCTTTCCTAAAGCCTCTGTAATTATACTCTCCAACACCAAGAAAGAAATCCAGGACCCTGAGTCTGCCCTGCGATTACTTCTTCATCGAACGGCGAACAATATACTACCAGCGACCTATCGGACAGCATATGATAACCACATAAACATTCAGATGTCAGAATGAATCAGAAGAAGCCCTATCAACAGCACGGCACAGAATATTTGGAGCAAGCGATTGCGACGAGCCGGCTAGTGTCACTGCATGTTTGAGCAAGCATACGGGAGTTTGGACATATCAGAACTACATGGACAAGCAGCTAACGGCATGTTCTAGAATCAAGCAACTCATGCCGATCGAAGCGTTCGAAGCCATGTTGTCAATCTGCGACAGCAAGCATGGTTGGCACCAAGGAAAACACCCTACTGGAGTGTGGTAATATAACTATGGCGAGCGCAAAGATACAACCAGCAGGGCTAGTCTTTGTGGCATAAGGGTATACCAGAAACTCGGTATGGGGTCACAGCATTTGGCGAATCAAAAGGTGGCGCTGTTGCACACAACAGCAAAAGAGATACCTCTCCGCAACTGTGCAGTCGCAGGTTAGATATTTAGCGACGAAGGTGCATGCGACAGATGGAAAACCAAACTGGAAATCGAGGAAGGAAGTAAAAGGGGCAAGGAAGAAAAGTATGTCCTCAAATCGTGTGTGCGCACACACACACAAGAAAGGATACGAAGCTGACGAGAACGTAGGGAGATATAGGTATCTCATCTTCCAGACCGACCGCGCTCCGCCCTCTCAACAGTTACTACCACGCTCTCACGAACCCCCTACCTCTCCCCTCGTCCACCTTTTGAACCGTATCCCACCGCACCTCGACCCGCCATCTACCCTAATACAGCCAAAACCTACACGGCGCGGACCCAGCGGCACCTTTCCACCCCGCATCACAACATACAAAAGAGCAACCCCAGGGCCTACAAGAGGATAGGAATGTCTGCGGTTATGATGCTAGCGAAGTCCCTTGTTCTGGGATCGCTGAAGGGTGGAAAGGTGTGGATCTGAACGCTTTTCGGAATCGATGTAAGGAGAGACCGGGACATTCCTTTGAGGGGGATAAGATACGGGAACGGCAAATAGATTTGGGGAGAAAACTGGGTGTTCAGAAAGAAGGAGGCAGTGACAGAAAAGAACAGGAGGGTGTGGCAATGGGAAAAGAGATATACGGCGTTAAAAGGCAAGAGAGCGGGCTATACAAGGCGTAAAGGGGTAGAGGAAACAGGCAGAAGGGGAAATATTTGAGAAGAAAGGGACTGATATAGAGAGGGGGTCTCGCCTGCAGTAAGACAGGGTCGGTATGCAGGATCATATGCTGCATTGCTGTGATTTCTTTGGCTTGCCTTTGCACAAGAGCAACATTTCTCATATGTTGAATTTATTAGTTTGACCTGTGCTGCGAGATTTAGTTATTCTGAAGGTTAGCACCCCTACGGGTAGCTCTATAAGCTCATGGGGGTCTGATAGAAGCCTTACCACGGCATCCTTCTACGACTTTTGGTGTACGTTAGTGCATGGCCTTACCTCATTACTGAAACTACATATAGACTTCCTACAAGACGAATACTATGCTGTCACAGGTGTCTGCATCGATGGTGCCTTGTTAGAAAAGAAGAACAATAGAATGAGTGTGGCTGCTGTAACTTCAAAGAGTCGCATATAGATCGTCTTAAGAACTCATGTCGAGTACAGCCCTTTCATTGGTATAAAGAGCGGCTCTAACAGTATAGAGCTACTATGAATTGATACTGTTTGATGTAGCTCAGACCACATCTGCTTTACCTCTGTGTCTACTGTAGCAAGAAGAAAAGACTTCTTTCTTTTACTGGCGACATGTCCGAAAACCGTACTACCATCATAGTAGCTGCATCATAGTCATCAAGAATCTTGTATGAGCTCTCGTTTTAAGTGTTGATGGGAAAACAGAATCATCGCAAGCGTATGCTAGTTAGAGACTGTCCTGAAAGTCTCTCAAGTTTTTCAGTCCAAATGTTCAACGGAACGTGAGCATCGTATCTCGGTTGCTGGCGGTCTCGATATGTCGGCGCTGTGGCTTTTGAAAGACACAAAGACAAGCTTCTCGCATCATGTCTCACTGTAGAGCACTCAGGAGCAACTCCTTCATTGCTGGTAACGGACCTGGGAGATAAGAACATCTTGCATTGACAGCAGCTCTGTCTGTGATGTGTGGCCAAGTATCTGAACCACAAATTTGGTCTTGCACTTCTCTTGAGGCATTACTGTTCCTGTCAATAAAGAGCGTTAGACACAGCCCGTCTTGCGCTGAACATGGGGTTTCTGGCACGGCCGCCTGGCCAAGTCCTTTTCTCTTCGCTAGGAGAGCTCGGAACTTTGACAGACACTCTCAGCATCATGTTCTTGTTCTCATTGCAAGAGTGTTATTGCACGGCGCTCTCTCAGTTGTGATGGCCCGTGCGACATAAGAGGCCATCCATGAGGGTAGAACTTGTTTGCCGCCCTCTGTCTTCCGACCTCCAACAAGACTTTCAGGCCTCGTACAACTGTCCCTAGATCGAATTTCTCTGTGTTTGTAATACTACTAAGACGAAGTTGCAATCCCTGACACCGTTCTGATAAAGCTCGTGGGATCGCCGCGGAGGAGGACAGCCAATGAGGAGTATCATCACTACCCATTCTGGGTTACACGGACATGCTGCGGCCTTCCGCGAGCTCGCAGATACCTTTCATATGGAGAAACTAACACTCAGGGCATCTTCGACTGCGGTTTCATCAGCCGTAGACGCCTGTATATCTATCGGGGTCGCACGATGAAGGCAGAACAGTGACCCAGGTCCACGCGCACTCTGATCTCGAAGAACGGCGGCATACTTGCGGCGCCCAAGTGGGTAAGAGATTGCCTCTGCGCGATCGGCAGTCTCAGTGTTGCAACCTCCCTTACTGCAACTGACGAGACGCAGCCTTGAGCGATATCTCTGCATGAACAGCTACTCTTCCAGGATCGCTTTGTGACCACATTGATCCAGTATGGATGAAAAGTATAACCCGGAATTTACAACCGTCAATGGCAACTATAATGATGCTTCATGGCGACGCTTCTCGCAGAAATCACCGCATCTGTTGACAATAGCGCAATGACTACTGCGCCCTCAATATGCCCAAATAGACGAGACCAACGGAGGGAGGCCCTACTCACAACTGTTGGAAGAAAGTCTGGAAATATAAAGTGGAAGCAAGACAACCACCGTACTTGAGGAGAGATACTCATATGCCCGACATCAATCCAGGCGGCTGCTGATTATCGGCATATACCTTTGTGAGTATATGCGCATTTTGCCTGACCATGATATTGACAGATGGCACAGGACACAGCAATATTTTCTTGCAGTTTTCCCATCCCTGCAGGCGCCGCCGCACGAGATCCAGTCGACCGCTGCGAACAACACATATACAATATTGGGCCACCGGCTCGCCATAGAACCATGCCGATCCCAAATGTTGCGCCTGAATCATTTCGAAATTTACAGCAAACATTATCTGGGCAGACAAAGCAACTCATGCAACGACCAAAGTAGACACTAAACCGAGCCTCCGCGTCGGCAGTATAAATGGTGTAAGGACTCTCACAGTGACTTTGATAACAAGACCACTGCTGTGATCTACACGTCTGTAAGACACAGCATGTCTAGGCTATAGCGCAAAATATGGTCCGGGTGCCTTGCTGACATGGAAGTTCCCCCAGCTTTGCAGAGACCAGTTGTCGCCAGTACCCCCGGTTTCCGAGAACAAGCCGCCAACAGAGTCGCGGAAGTATTTGCAAGCCGATGATAAGTTTAGAGATGAATTCTGGTTGAGAGATTTATAAGAAAGAGATGGATTGGCGTAAATCTAGAACCGCGAACGTGACATAAGCAGCGAGTTAGTCCATGCGGATAACTTTGGCGGAAAGGATGGGTTGAGCAAGTGTCGTCCATGGATGCGAGACAAGGGCAGGATCTTGAGTACCAGCATCATGCCGCTAAAGCAAATTGAAGTCTCCTAGACGATAAGATGTTTGATGTTGTTACAGCCAACTATATAGGTCTGTTGATCTAGAACGTATTCCACATGGTCGACATTGACATCTGACTTTTGGACCTAGGTGCGACAACGGACGCCTTCGACTTAGACGATTCGGCACAACGCCATACCCGTTATAATTCGATACTCGGAAAACACCAGATATCGCTTGTACGAAATGATGTTGATGACTTTGACGTAAACTCGTTACTGATAGCCCAAAAGCGAACTTCCTTTCAGGGCATCGATTACGCCTGATCAAATCGTCCTCGGCAGCCGCATCAACTTTTTCAACCCAATAATCGGGTAGGCGATTCTTGCTGGAAACTACTGGGATCTGCTGAGATTAAAACACCAATGTCCTTCCGAAGAGCCCTGGACGATAGAAAGGGTCACTTCCGAAGTATGTACAGAGTCATGGAATAGCCTGCCATCAAGGAACACGACAAGGTCATTATTTTCTGCACCTCTGCACGAAAATAAGGGTCGGACTTCTTTCGGAATGGTCAAGGTTTAAACACCACCATGCCTTAGATTTTCGTCGAAGCAGATGTTGAAATTGATTCCGATAACAGAAGTAAAAGACGAAGCTGACGAGGGCTCTTAGCATATGGTAAAATCGCTCGAAGGTTGGTACTGCTGTTGCTCGGGTCTTCCACCACAAAGTATCATGTTTAAGATCTAAGGGTGCAGAAAGAGCTGGATTGTGCTGCCGTGTCACCGAATGGAGTTACTACTAGGCCGATCGAGCGCTAGATTTGATTCTCCATATTCGAATTTGAGTTGACCGCACTCCCGAAGCTCGGCAAGGTATCTCAGCTCGATGTAACGGAGCGAAGCATCGTTGTGTACACACTCGCGTTACACGATAAGCTAATAACAGTGTCCTACACTGCATTGCATTAGCACCACCCATCAACATAGTAGAATTCACCCGGTCGAAGTGATGGAAAAAGTGCAAGTTGAAAGCTGGCTTTGAGAGCATCGTGGCGTTGGAGCAAACCAAGTGCTCTTATAGATGGGTGCGACGATCGCGGTATTTCTGAACGAGAATCTAATGTAGACTCTTCGTATGTCCTAAGGTTTCTCACGATGGATAGCAAGCCAGGCTCAAGAGTTAAATTGCTGTCCTTTTGTAGGCTACGATCTTGGTAGGTGCGGCAACGGTGTCGGGAGCGGTCGCTTTGAGTCTCCGATGATGGAGTCTCCCCGGGCGGCGGGAGGAGCGATATCTTCCTCAGAAAGTGCTAAACCATCATCTTGCCTTTAGCTTTGACTAAAGGGCCGCCATTACCAGAACTGCTTGTCCATGCGGTACGGTTTTGTCGGTTGTTGCTGCTGGTATTGGAACGCTCGTAGGTGTGATGGAGAAGAACACAACAATCCATTAGGCGATGCTGGCCCCAAAAGAAGTAGGCTTCACCTAGTTGAGTCCATCGAAATGCTGGAAGAAAGATTTCCTATACGCTTTGATCGTCCGATCCGAAGCATTTGCCGACAGTGATTGCAAGACTCGAGAGCGACGCGCTACAGTCATGGCCAATAAGATGCACGAGAAATCTATCATGGCTGTTTGATCAGCTTTTGTGTGTGTGCAACGTCAGGTTTATTGGAGCTTGAGCATCGGTGGGGTTACCTCAGAAGGGTTTTGGGCAAAGGAAGCATGCTCAGGCAGGAGCTACTAGCGATGCAGATTCAGCATTGGTGCTGGGAATGACTTACCAAGGACCGCTGGAGTCTGCTTCCATGTATGAAATGAGCGTCGAGAGAGGACGCAACAGCCTAGGCCCAACGATCGGAGCTGCCGTGGGAGGGCTTCTGCAAGCTTGAATCTCGATCGCAACATCAGGGCGATCGGAAGACTCGAGTCCTGATGAATGGAGGAGATTTGTTGGTCTCCTCTCAACTCGTTGGGGGCTGATTTTGACTGTAGTGTGAGCAGCGGAGCAGAGGCCCGCGGCTACGGTCTTGAAGGGTTGCCATTGAGATCATCACCAAGCCGAAGATGACCCAAGAGAAGAGATGGAATCGATGAAGGGGATAAGGAGTTCATTACGAAGCTTTTGAGGGATGCGCGGATGAATTGCGAAAATCTGACGACTACGCCTTGTTGGTGGTGGGACAAGGGTTTGGAAAGTGGTGATAGTCACTTTGGTGTTGCAGCAATGAACTTCGATTGACGCCAACGACCGTGCATTGTTCTGGTTCACAACGCCCCTCTCTACTCACTGCCTACACTACACAATTGAAGCACATGGCTTGTGCCTCCTCTCTCTTCAAAATTGGCTACCCAGAGGTTGTTTCCGCGCCTCAGCATGGTAGGCAGTACCTATGATGTCGTGATACTGAGTTCGAGTCCGCCAGCGATTTCCCCGCAGCGCAATGCCCCTTCACGTCGCGTCGCAGTACCCGCATCCTCACCCCTGGTACTCTCTCGTCCTACAAGTCCACTGAGATCAACAACCGGCGCGTCGACCACCAACCCTAGAGCTGTCCCTATCCCTGAGGGTGCACTCAGGGGATTTGCCACCGTTGGTAATCTGGTACGATCCGAACACTTTACAAGCCGGCTAGACGACGACTTTACGGCGATACAAGAAGCGCGATTGCAGAAGGATACAGTAGATGTTGTAGAGAACATTGAGAAGCCTCGCAAGCGGTCTACGGAGAAGTCCATTGCTGCTACAGATGAATCTGAGAAGCCTAAGCCTAAGCCTCGAGCGCGCAAGCAGAAACCCAAGTCAGACAAAGAGATTCTCGACTCAGATGACGAACTACGACGTCCACAGCGATCTACAAAGTCGCCTTTCTTCAACGACGAACCTTCCAAGTCCGCCATCAACCCCCCAAGTGAGACTACGGATGCGCCGAATCTCACCAAATCGGGGAAGCCACGCAAGCCGCGTGCTAAGAAACAGAAGGCCGAAGGAGAGGCTGTGGAGCCTGTCGTGAAACCAAAGAGAACGAGAGTCACAAAATCTAAGAAGACAGCCGTGAAGAGTGGCAACGAACAACCCAATGACGTATCCGTCGTCTCTGCGCATTTTCAAACGGGGGTAGACAAGGATGACGGTTCGAAATCAGTGTCAGGTCAGAAGTCGGTAGAGATAAAAGACAGTTCAGGTGGTCATTCTGCATCTATATTGGATGTCCCAGATAGTCCACAGTCTAAGAATGTCGCTTCACTCGAACAGCGACCACCAACTTCTGATGCAGAGCCACTAGAGCTGGAACAAGCTCTAGTGCGAAGGCAAGATTGGACGCCTCCTCGCGACACGACCACAACATCGCCAAATGCAGACTCAACAGGAAAGGAGAATATATCGCTAGCACAGAATGCTGAGGACAACTTCACAAACCTGCTCTCTAATTTTGCTTACGCACAATCACCCTCGGCTCAAACAACTACAAAAGCGGGCTGTTTGGCTGGAGAAGTGATGGGCACTACGAAAAGAAGACGTATCGAGGTAGGTGCTGTCGCTGACTATTCAATGAAGCCACTATGTTGATGTTTGTCTTCAGCTAGTAGAGATACCCGGCAACCAGACCAACTCCCGTGATTCGTCGCCTGAGAAGGGCAAAGCTCCCAAGAAAAAGCCGCGCACCATCACAGACCTTGTGACAGGACAGTACGGTCAAAGAGATGAAGAATCCGACCCGAACAATGCCTTAGGAAATTTCTTTGAGCCCCGAACATCAATGACTGCGATGCCATTAAACGATATGGCTGCATCGGGTACCAATTCACCCCAGAAGAAATTGCCGCGTAAGCGTAATAGCCCAAAGGCGCCAGCTGAGAAAGGCGAGCCGAAGGCGAAGTCGAAACCCAAGAGAGTATCGGCCAAATCTACTACTAAACCCAAGCTTGTCGCCGAGAAGTTGCTCAGCCCTGCTGCGGCAATCTCACGACTGAACCAACAGGATGTGCTTTTTGGTACATCAAGTCAACTGGCATTGGAAGAATCCCCAACAATGATCCGACAAATCCAGTTCGCGATCAAGGAGTCAGAACAGGATGCAGATAGGGCCGACAACTGTTCTTTTGTCGCGCCTTCAGCATGGTCTAGACTCACCAAAGTCAAAGGCCAGAAAGCCTTATGGGCTGTCAGTGCGCGAGATGATGACGGTGGCATGTTAGAGCATATGCAAGATGTGCGTATTCCCGAGCCTGACCGAACGCAAGACATCCCACTGCTAATGGATGTCATTCATGACAAGCCTGATGGTGCCCGGAATGATCCTGTCGGCCCATCGTTGTTCATTGATATTGATGACATACCTCAAGACCCTCCTCCACCCATTACCATCTCGTCTGATATACCGACACCTCCTTCCCACTCCTCAAACACCCCTCAACTGCAGGATTCGAGAATAGAAAACTTTACCACAAACGAGTTGGATTTCAAAGATATCGATGCCTTCGAATCAGAGCCACCACCCTCAAATCAGAATGCAGAATCTCAACATACTTTTGTTGAAATTGACGAGTTCGACTTACCACCTTCGGCACAACTGCAGTATAGTCCCGCAACTAAATTGAGGCCGCCTGCATCTGCGTCAAGAACGGGTTATGGATCGCCCAAGAAACGTGGTAGAAAGCCAAAGTCGCAGTCTACTGTTTCTAAAGTCTCTATGTCTTCGAATCCGATATTGAAACCATCATCCTTGGAACCTAGGGCAAAGCCGAAAGAGAAGGGTGCAGTGCCTTCTACTCCGCTCAGGGAACCAAGTCGGTTCATCGATATCGACGAGATTCTTGACTCGGAAGACGACGCCCTCGAAGCATTGTCTCCCACACCACCACGGGTCTACAAACACATTGATCCAGAGCCTTTGCCACTGATCTCGCTCTCACCTACTACATCGCCCAGCAAGACTACCGCAGGTACCAGCTTCAAATCCAAACAGGGGCCATTATCTGATGCAAACCTGACTCCGGTGCACTGCATACCAACCAAGATGCTAGAGTGGGTCCATATCAAATCCGACATCTTTGCACAAATTACAACGCACATCCGCTCCTTACCCCCAACTAGAGATCCCACAAAACCTACGTGGCACGAGAAAATTCTTATGTACGACCCCATTGTCCTTGAAGATTTCACCGGCTACCTCAACGATTGTACCAGCATCCGTTTGTTCAAAAAGGCCACGCAAAAGCAAATCAAGGCATGGAACCAGCAGCGAAAAGTTGATGGTGAACCCATTCTAGTGGTTGAAAAAGGTTGCGAAGAAGACGTACTGGCTGTAACGAAAGAGCTCGAGACACAAATGGTCCAGAGTTGGTGTGAGAGTCTAAGCATATGCTGCGTATGGGGTGAAGGAAGGGGAAAGAGCGGAGTGCGTAAGGGACTGTATTAGATAAGATGATTATGATGATGACATTTTGATGAACTCAACGTTGGAAAACATGAAGTGGTCGCAACTGCCTGTACCACATCCGCTAACCCTCATTGGTCCACGCAGGTGAAAAACACGCATTCTTTTTTTTGTTGTCAAACGTAACTGTTACGCTCCTTCCATCCGCTGGCGGCGTGGAAAAGCTCCTCCGAGCAGAGTCCGATAAAGTTATAGACCCATCTGGGGACTGGGACCACCAAATTGACGCCAAACTTGGGTTACGATCCGTCCTCGTGTTTGCATCCGTAGCCTCTTCGCTAGATTCAGGAGACATTCGTGGAAATGCAGAGGCTTTGTGTGTGGGGTCGAACAGAACAGTAGATGTTCCTGGCGTTTCGGGCCACCATCCAGACGTCGAGCATAGATTTCTTCCAGTGCCGTGTATGAAATCCGCAGGTCGAGGATACGACTTCAGATACTTATTTTGTGGTGGGATACCTTGCTGTATCTGCTCAGTCGCGCCTCCATCTCCTTGCATACCTGCGCCTCGGAGTGGGAGCTCGTGGACGTGCAGAGCCTCTCGCTGCCACTCCTGACCCTGTAAACCTGGGTGCGGCGAGCGTTGTTTGGGCGGCTCATTGATATCGTAGCGCTCCGAGTAGCTACCTGTTTTGTTCTCGTAATCTAGCTTCATGACCATTTCGCCGTCTTCGGCTTCAAAGCGCACACGGACTGGTAGCCAATCTGGTATCGCTTCGCCAGACATGGCTTCGAGGGCTTCGAGGAGGGGTTTCTCTTCAAGGGCGGAGACGCCCCATTGCAAGTGGATCTTGTTACATTGGTCAACGGCCCAGGCCTTCATGCGCTCAACTCGGGATATCTCGGCATCGATATCGGGTTGCATGCCTGGAGAATTGGACCACCTGGCTGAGAGATCACGGATGGCTCGTTGCCATGGTCCGATAGAGATCTGTATTGGCGTATGCATGCGCAATGATACGAGAGGTAAGTCTTGGGAGATGGAATTGGCCCATCGGAGGGATTTGGCGAGATGCAGTGCGCTGTCAATATCGATGACTCGGAGTCTTTCTGCAGAGGGCAGCAATGAGAGAGCCGTTTCTGCGGGGAAATGTCGGTATAGTGTATCGGCAAGACCACACAATAGGTTCTGCAACATCCAGTATCTCGTGCAAAGAATCATGTTCTGCACAGTATCAAACTCTAGAGTGTCTGGCATAAGATCGGCGAACTCTGGAGACGCGGGAATTGGTACGACGGTGATGGCTGTTTGCATCAGCTCAGATACATGTTGTGGGAGATTGACTTGTATTAACGACTCCATATGCGAGACTGCAGCCGCAAGTGCGCTAGTATCTTTGGGATTTAGGATTGCCTGTCTGATCAAGCATACTATTTGAGGGCATTGAATGAAAACATGCATGATCGCCATCGATGCACGTTGTGTTGGCGAAAGCGATATCGATGCGTTCATGGGCGGTGGATATGTAGCCGATAAGTAGAAATCGTTATAGTAGACCGATTGTCGACCTGTCAACATAGATTCATTGACCTTTTACATGTCAAAAGGCCGATGCTTAAGTGGAAGAAGAAGAAACTCACATCGTCAACATACGTGTTATCAATCAGATTCCAGTAGTGCTCGTCATCGACTTCTAAAGCCTTACCCGACTTCATCAGTTCAGCGAGTCCAAAGGCGTGAATGGCATGGTACATGGTATCAATTCCCATAAGAGCCTAGCGGGTGTGAGTATATTGCATCTAGGTATAGCAGTCGTAGTCCCTCACCTCGGCCGCATAGTGCATCTTGGTGGCCAGTAAAAGGTCATACGTAGGTTCAGTACGAGCATTTAGAACAACAAGCTGCAGTTCCCTTAAAGCCTTGGCTTTTGTGGCTTTGGCAAGCTTTCGTTTCGAGTGCATTCCATCTCGGTACGCTGCATAGCTATTCAATAAAAACTCTACAGCAAGATCGAGCATCCGATTGTGACCAATACGCGACGGCATGGTTTCAATCCAAGTACCCAGAATGGCAAGTGGCTGTTTTCCGGAGACATCCGGTCCAAGCATATCGATGTAGCGGCTGATCAGTGCGGTTTCCGGAGACGATGGTTGATACGGGACTATAACAGACTCTTTTTCTAGGTGATGGAGGTATGCTTCCAGTGCACGTTGCTGCATATTTGCCTTCTTTTTCGACAGTCTAGGTTTGGGCTTGGAGGTTGGCGCTAAGGTCTGAAAGAAGCCTCGCCCATCACCCACTCTTCTTTCGGTGGTGATGCGCAATTCTGAAGATGCTGAAGAAGATGAGACCGCGTCCTCCTCAGAAGAACTGAAACTATGCACTACAAATGGAACTCTTGATTTGCCGTGTTTTGTTAATTGGTTCGGGTCCTGCACAATGAAAGCTGATGGCTTTCCATACGAGTAGGCACAGGGGCGGTCCTTCTTCTTGCATGCACCGCATTTAGGCTTCTCTTCATCGCACTACAGATCTGTTAGTAAATATTTACATACAATCAATTATATCGTGTTCTGGGCCCGGAACCTTCCAGATAGAAGAAGATTTCGCACCTTCACTTTCCGCTGGCGACACGTGTCGCATTTCCCCGTTTGGGTCATTTCGAAGTTTTGAGAAAGGTACAAAAATCCTCCACTAGCTCTGAAGGTGCTTTCTTCAAGCACTACTTTCAACGACTAATATTACGGTTCGATGAGCGGAATTATCCAGATGCTGGGGCCTAAATAAAGCTCAAATTAGACAATATAAGATCGAACACAAACAGTACAGGGACACTCGGCCAATACAGGTAGTTCGAACAACTCTTATATTTTATAAAGGCCCTCACATTTACTTAGGAACTTTGCAAAGAACAAGTGCGGTATACTGACACTGAAATATGACGTCTAGTTGTTGCGATAGAGGGAGGCTTCAGGCTAAACTAAAATAGAGCTAGTAGCGCAGACCCTTGGCATGACGAGCTAAATATAGCAGCCCCTCCAAACCATAGCAGAGCAATTCACGTTCACCACATGTCCATATACAGATACGCAGCAATCACGCGACAATGGCATGCCCCAGTAATAGTAAAAGCCGGTTGTTTGAAAGAACAGATAATAGCGATATTTTGGAAGGGGGCCAACCATCCCTTACGCAGTCTCCCTCCCAATACCAGCTTTGTACCTCGCCAAACACCTTTCTCGCGCAAATTTGTGCTCGACAATGGGTTCGGGATACCCATTTTTCTTTGCAATCTTGACCGCCTCGCCTTTTGCCTGGTAGGGATTGTGTATCGCGGCCCCTTGCATACCCTCTAGCTCCTTTACCCATAACCTAATGAATTCACCTTGCTCGTCAAACTTTTCAGACTGTGTCCATGGATTGAAGATGCGGAAGTAGGGTTGAGGATCCACGCCTGTTGAAGCACTGAAGCCCCATCCGCCGTTGTTTGAAGCAAAGTCGCCATCGATGAGGTGCGTAATGAAGTATTGTTCGCCGAGACGCCAGTCTAGCAAGAGATGTTTGGCTAGGAAGGATGCTGTTATCATACGAAGTCGGTTGTGCATGTAACCTGTGTGTTTGAGACAGCGCATTGCGGCATCAACGATGGGATAACCTGTACGACCTTGCGTCCAGGCCTGGAAGTGGGCATCATTGTATTCCCATTCGATGTTCGTGTACTCGTACTTGAAGGGTTTGTTCATGCTGTGCGAAACTTAGTTGTTGGGTAGTGAAGAGGAAGTAGAAACTCATACCATACATAGGGCCAGTGAACCAGAACATGTCTGTAAAAGTCCCGCCAAGCTACTTCTCCAATCCAGCCTTTTATGCCCTCCTTGCCCCCGTCGAGCTTCTTCACGCTGTTAATATCCCTAGCCATACGCACACTCGTTCGAGCGGCTAGTGTGCCGGCCGCATGATGTACACTGATTCGGCCAGTACTGTTCAAAGCAGGGAAGTTACGCGTGTCCTTGTACTTGGTGACTTTCTCGGTGAGGAAACGTTCCAATCGATCGATAGCTGCCGACTCGCCAGCTGGCCATAAATGACGAAACCGCTCCTTCTCTTCGGCTGTAAGAGACTTGCATTCTGGGAGATCAGGGACTCTGCAATCGAAGAGCTTCATAAAATTTTCACGGAAACCGGCAGGATTCTTCTCTGGCATGGAGCGTTCTTTAAGAAGATGAGGGTGTGCGTGGAGGTATGCAACCCAGGCGCGGTACCAGGGTGTGTATACTGCGTATTGTTTTCCGGTACCTGTCTTAAGACTTCCGGGTGGTACGACGCAGTCATCGTGTTGTGGATCCATGTTGATACCTTTCTCCAACATCATACGCACGAGCCGTTCTTCCCGGCGCAGCTCGTCGGGCTCGTATTCAAGGTTACAAAAGACGTTTTTTACATTCCATTCAAGTGCCAGTTCAACCAATCGCTTTTTTATGTTCTTCCTTTCGCGCACCGTCTCAATGTAGAGAGGTATGTCGAGCTCTTCTAATTCCTGCTTGAGCAGCTGTACCGAACGAAGCTCAAAATCGCACTTAGGCGGGCTGACAAGATGTGCTTCCCAGTCTTGTGGGCTCATTATCCAGACAGTAATTAGGCCAATTCCTTTACTCTTTGCGAGTTCTGCAGCTTTTGAGAGGCCTGTGTTGTCTCGTATGCGCAAGTCGCGCTTGAACCAATGCATGACTGCATCGCCGTGCCCACCTTCGTTTCTGCTTTGTATCTTGTCCCTCTTTTGCTTCGTGTCTTTCAAAGTTTTCTCCAAGATTGCAATTGGCCGTGGAATCTCGTTAACATTGTACATGGCGCATCGCTCGTTGCTCATTTCTGCCGGATAGTATCGCCGATCGACTATGCCTGCTCGTTCTTCTGGCCTCGAATGATCAAAACCGCCTTCTCTGTTCTTGATATCATCTCCAGGTGTACCATTTTCAGAAATTCTTGCGGTCGCATCTGTGAGCGGCGTGCTGTTTGTGAATACTTTATCAAGAGGTTTAGCTATGCGCGAGCGCTTGTTGGGTGCGTTGCCGGATGCGTCAGTGTACGTGTTGGCAGATATGGCGTTGTGTAGAATGCCGTTGAATTCACGCTTTGGAGGCATTGTAAGGGCACCCTTCGAAGAGTGTATGAAAGGTCGAGGTGATACGTAGCACAGGTAGATCAAGTATGTCCTGTGGGTTGGAAACACCAGCATAGAATGGAATGGTCTGAGAGGAGCAAAACAGCGCATGCGCAGGTACCTGGCCTCACACTGCCGGCCAACAATTGAAGTCTGTTCAGAGAAAGATGCAGGTTGACATCTTGTGTTCTCCCGACGCGTTCATTTCTCGCGTTGGCTTAGCACCGATCAATGACGCAGATCGTCCCTGAAACATTGAGTCGAGATCGGTTGGTCAGATTAGCGAAGCCAGCCCCTGTCAACGTCCCCCGGGATTCAACGGGCGCCCAATTTTATAGCTGTGGCCACGTCTCGACGCGCATCGTTGGTGACGATTCCCATATGGTTGCTACACGTTCGAGGTCCAGTAAACAGCTAATGGAACCATCTCAGGAGAGAGGTAGGGTCTGGTGGGGTCGAGCCGGATAATGGGCCATCTGTGCGTGTTCTCTTTCTGAGTCCGTTGTTTCCGACCCCAACTCCATCGCGTGAGTTTTGTTTTCAAAACACATCTCGGCTTATATACGAGGCACACTTGAAGCGAAGACGGAGCCCGGTAGAGCGAACATGACGCGATTCTGACATTCTGAGTGTTCGTCCTGATATGTGACCGCTGGTGGACAGAGGCTCTACTAGCCGCTATCGTTCTATCTTATGTCTTTGGGGGGGCCATTGGTAATCATACGTAATCGGCCCAAGCAAGAAGGGCTGCTATAGATATTTTGAAGCATGAAAAAGTCGGTGTAATCTTGCGTGAGATTGAAGAGTCGACCGATGACCGACGGGACGAGAACTTGGCGGCGCGCCTATAGCAATGCCGAGCGGAGAGAAGAGGTCGCAAAGGGTGCTTGGGCTAGAAGCTACTGATATTTCCAGTATGACGGCATAGCGAGGGGCATGGCCCGTAGTGCAATTGGAAGGATGAGGATGCAGGCCGTTATGGAAGACTTGGTGGCGTCATAATTAGGCCCGGTCCAGCACTGCCATTGGCCCCCAGCGAGCAAATTGCTTAGGGCAAGGCAGACATGATTGGGATACGGATTTAATCCTGGAAGCAGCATCACAGCTCCACGTGCATCATTATTTTTATAGCTGAGATAAGATTGCCATGGCTGGGCAACCTGGACGTCGGTTGAGGCCCGAGGAGGTGGTAAAAGACACGATTGGCCATGGTGGTTTACCAATCGCAAGTACTAGTATGGCCAACGGCATGGTGATTGGGGGGCCAAAGTGCTGACTCGTGCGCGCGTGATGAGAAGAGCATGGGCGGCAAAGGCGAGCTACTGCTACTCTTATTGTTGTTGGTGGTGGTGGTGGTAGCCATGATGAAGAAGATGATGGTGAAGGTAGTGGTGATGGTGACGACAAGACTCGCGACACGGCGAAGGGCGTTGGGAGAGGGACAGGCACAGGCACGAGCCGCGTGAAGCGAGGGCGGTGGAGTGGAGTGGGGGAGTGGTGGAGGAGTGAAAGCGGGGCGGCGGGCCTAGGTACCAACCAAGCAAGGCAGCCACAACATAGTCGGCACAGGCAAACACCAGCTGTGCCACTCTGCCGTCCCAGACTAATGCAAACCCTCCAACCCCAACCTATTTCGCGGTATCATTCTGCATCCAGATGAGTGATGGCCTTTTTTGTTCATCCACCACCGTTAGGGTGGCAACCTATCGTAAGCCTCGATGCTCGGCCCTACAAGGCGTCCAGCTAAGGACATTTGCATGCGGCCAGTCGCACACCAAAGATGAAGCCGTCTGATGCCCTCGCACAGCCACGGTACAGCAGCAGCATCGCCTACCACGCGACTTGTTTGGAAGCAGCCGGGATGGCTCGCCTAACGTACCTGTCCTCATCTCACTCACTATCCCCGAGGGGGGGCCTCGCAGCTAAACACCAGGCCGGGCAATGACGAGAAACATGCACCAAAGCTTAACTTGAGCCTCTTCAGGCACCCCACTGACTAGACTCCCGTCCCTCCAATGGATTCTCACCCATTCCACTCGCTACGGGCAAGGGCCGCCCCAAAGATAGCCCATTCACACAAGACTACCGCGTTCTGGCCGAGCGTTCACCCACGGCCTTAGCGCATCTTTGATCATGGAAACGGCCTCCGCCTACTCGTGGACCTGGATTTGGGAAGGATCATGGGGCCGAAGTAGGAGATCATGATGCTGCTGCGAAGGCAGTGACTCGTGAAGGTCGACAGGCAGAACTGCACTAAGGAAATGCACAAGCGTGTGCTGAGATGAGAGGCCTCATGGCGTATATAAGACTTGAGACGGAATGCCTCATGCATCATTAACAACAATGGCCAACGTGGATATCGCCCGGTCTTCAGCGCCCGTCGTGGCATCCTTTGAACTGCAGTCTTCCCTCCCCCATTCGCATCTCTTGATAGTTTCCCACGCCCTGTCCGTGGCTGAAACCTGTTCCCTGCTGTTTGAAATCTATGAATTGGCCTACAAGTCGCTATACCATATTCACACCTCATCCGCCATGTCTCGACATTCCAGCACAAATTTGAGTCCGTCGAATTCAAGTCTCCAGGTCAATGACTGTCAGAGAGCGCCGCCGCAGCCAGACCCGGAACCTGCCGCACCACCGTATGTACCAGCCAATCAATTACCCAAACATCTGCAGATGTACACAATTTTAGCTGCTTGGGAAATGTCCAGTCATACTGACTTTGTGCAATTAGTATCATTATTCTTGCCCGAAGTGGTAATAAACGAGCAGTGCAGCCTAGACCCCAAATTCAGGTACCGGCCCCTACTGAACAGGGTCTTCGGGCTCGCCCTCCTACGTCATCCTGGTCGTATGTAGACCCTTGCCCAGCCCACGTCCGTTGACTTTCCCTCTCTTCCGCCTGATGCGATTCTGACTTTTTGTTTCCCACCCACTACAGGCCGCGACAGACGTCACGCTATAACCTTAGAAGCCGATCCAACAAACAACCATTTTCCCGCCCACCAAACAAGCCCAGACCCCAACCCGAACCCCATCCTGCTCCTCCGTAAGTCACATGGCCCCGACCATATCGAGGGTGCATACAAATATGGCACGCGACACAATTGCGCTCCCTTTTACACACTTGCTCTCGATTTTTCCGGCTACATCCATTGTATATTTTACTAACGACAGACTGTAGTGTCATAATCCTCTCCAACGAGCAGCAACAGCAACAGCAACAGCAGCAGCAACAACAAAACCAAGCGCCTCCTCCATTCAACCCTGCCACACCCTTATCTCAAGTATCCACACCTCCCACACCCCGCACAAACACACCATCACACAGCGCAATGGGTTCCAAAGTCAGCAAAGTGCGCGAGCGAGCTCAAGACGGCAAATTGCAGCCTTCGCAAGAACAGCTGGACAAGGAGCAAATGAAGGAGCCCAGCAACTACTATACGCATCGCAGCAAGAGCATGCGCAGGAAGGCGGGAAAAGGAGGTAATGCAGGCGGCAGCGCTGCTGGCGCCTCTGGGACGACCTAGCCAGCCAGATAGCTATCTGAATCAGGCAAGCAGGTTAGTTGTTGGGTTCAGGTCCATTTGGACTTGGGGCGAGAGCTGCCAACAGACATGGGTTCGGGGGCGGTGTGGGGAGTAAGCCGGCACAAAGGTGGTTTGGTGCTGGCAAGACGGGCCGAGGTCGACATCTGCAATCGAGATTGGCCATGACTGATGGGTTGTGCTTTCAGTGGGAGGTATAACTTTTTTTGTTCTTCATGTTGAGACATTTGTTGATAGAGGCACTGCTTGGAGTTTTTTTTTTCATTTTTCATTTTTTTTATCAAAGCCTAGAACTTGACTGGTCTGGGCATTAGCGTCTTCATTTTGCCCCGTTTTGGGTATGAGCGAAATACACTCAATGTATCTTTTTTTGTCCCGTTCTTCACAAACTAAAGTTAGTCAGCCACCTCAGCTGATACCCACATTACTTTCGATCTTCCGCTCATGTAAGCAGTGAAAGAATTGGACCAAACCACCAAATTACTGTTGAAGCCCGTATCGTAGAAATCTCAACATCACAATCGCAACCATGAGCATTTCGTGTGTAAAAAAAATTTGGATTAGATTACTTCGTTCAGTCCTCTAAAAAAGACCGTATTTCTTTGTATTCCGAAACAAGAAAATTATTTACTTGTGCATAGTAGAATTACCAGCACCACCGCCAACACGGTAGCTCTCAGGCGGGCCATTGTGGCTCTTCATGACGCCTCCAAGATCGAGCACAACCTTTTGCAGTACAACGTTCGCCTCGACAAGCCATAGCTTGAGCGTGTGCTTGCCAGGCTCGAGCGCACCGTGGTTCGTGGTGTTGTACCATGCGCTGTCGGCAACGGCCGTGCCCCAGTTGACAGGGAAGTTGGGCTGCTTCTGGTCGATAACGTACTGGCGACGGACCTGTGGCTTGTCGTCGATCTGCGCAATGTACGCGAGCGGCTTCTTGGGGTTGATGTTGTGGGTTGGGGTCAGGATGAGGGTAAGGTTGATGCCCTTCTCCTTGGGTAGCTTAGTAAAGGTGACAAAGTCGTATTCGAGGCTGGGTGCGCTGGTGGAGTCCAGGCCCTCGGCGAGGTTGTCGGCTAGCTTGACGGCGGAGTGGGTGCGGCCGTATTTTGGAAGCACCATGTAGGTGTGGTTTGAGGAGCCCGGTGTCGAGCGGGTGTAGTGCTCGGCTTCGAATGCAAGTTGGCCAGCGGACTCGACGAATCCATCGTTGAAGTCGGATGGGATGGAGGTCTTGTTCACCATGAAGGTGACCCTGGGTCTACCTCCCGCAGTACCAGCGTTGGTGGAAGAGCTGAAGTTGAGGCTGCTCTGCGCACCGAATCCGTCCTTTACTTTTGTCCAGTCTACATCCACATAGACGCGGACGTCCGGGTCGTTGGGCTTCATGATTCCCTTTGCTTGGGAAAGCGTCACGAAAGGATCCGCACTGATGTTCCATGAGTACTCCTCTGTTCCACGGTGGGAGATTTCGATCCAGCGCTTGGGAGTGAATGGTGTAATGTCCGGCAGGGTCAAAGAAGATCCACCATTGCCGTGGTACATGTCGTCACCAGGAATACTGGCGTTGGAGCCCTGCACGTGGACAGCCATGTCGCCTGCTAGCGAGCGCTCCCATACCTGTACCCAGCGAAGGTCAGGGGTGGACTGGCGCATTGGTTGTTGCCTGTTGAATAGTCAGTATTGTTCAAGGTACGTTCTCGATAGAAAAAGCGTAATCTTACCAGTATCCTTGGTATCCCAAGTGGGTCTGATCCATCATGTGATTCCATTTTCCGTTCAGCATGGTGTGGTATTGCTTGGTGAGGTTGTGGTCCTTCATCATGCCATCAATCACGCGTTGCATCCAGACGTTGGCGCTGTTGCGGCCCTGTTGCGCGTAGATGATATTCCTTGCTCCAGCAAT